GATAAGATTAAGGGACTTTCTCCTTTCAGGTATATCTACCAAAAAATGTGATTTACTGTACGGTCCAATTTTAACTTATATGATTAAAGTGTTCAGAGCAGCAGGGAAATTCCTAAACTTTAAGAGTGTGTGGTGTAGGTCATCTCCATTATGGAACAATCATAACCTATTGACTGGGGGAAAACCATTTAACAACAAAGCTTGGGAAGATAAAGGTATTAAAACTCTTCAGGACATTAATGGGGAAAATTGTATTCATGACTTTCAAAAACTGGTCTCTCAATATAATATTGATCAACACTCTCTCTTCTTTTACTTTAGAATAAGGTCTGCCTGTAAAGCCTATGGGGTCCCCTGGGGGTCAGATTTGAAAGAACATCCTATTCTGAGTTGGGTGCAAAGTGCTCCCAAAAAAATAGTTTCGTTTATCTATAATAATCTTAACTCCCAGAACTATATTCCTACATCAGGCATGAGAGCATGGGACAGGGAAATATCTACTTTAGGACAAGAATTGGATTGGGATGCAATTTGGGCTAATGTTACGGGTGCTTCAAAAAACCCAAACCATCAGTATATACATCTGAAATGTTGTCATAGAGCATATCTAACACCAATAATTAGACACAGAATTGGATTGGTACCTGACCCGTATTGTTCATTTTGTCACCAGGGAACCATTGGCTCTTTCTTACATGTTGTATGGGAGTGTCCAGGAGTATTGCACTTTTGGGGGAAGGTTATTAGTACCCTTACAGATTTAATAGGGTTGAGATTACCAATGGAACCTGCTGTACATCTTCTAAATGATGAATCTCACCTTTCCCTTACGGGGAAAACTCGCAAAATCTGGCTAACAGGCTTGACTGCAGCTAAAAAGATTATAGTCCAACGTTGGAAACCTCCTCACGATATTTCAAGTTCTCACTGGCTTCAGAGTTTTTTGAACATTTCTTACCTTGAACTGTCCTCTGCGAGAATCAACGATGCAAAACCTGATACAATTTTAATGTGGACAGATCTGATATCTAACTTAAAGGAGCTCCTGACCAAATAAGAATGCTATCCCTGAGGGGATATTTTTGCCCCGGTGGTTGGTGGTGGAGGGGGAGGGTGGGTGGGCGATGGAGTGGTTGGGGGTGGGCTATGGAGTGGGTGGGTAGCTGGGTGGGATGTAGGATAGAGGGATGGGATTGAATTAATCCAAAATGTTGTGCAACCTGAATTGTCTTCTGTACTGTGTTGTAAATTGAAGATGTTGCAATAAAAAATGTATGATAAAAAAATATATATATATGTATTTATATAACATCAAACTATGTTTTGTAAAAGTTGTTTTAATTAATCTGTAAAATGTTATCATATTGTGGATTTATTAAATTATGTATTTTCCTTTGTTATTTATGTGTGCGTTTGTTTTGAGGATATAATTCATTAGTACCTAAACATAGTATGGTATAACTGCTTTTTGTAATAATACACAATTGTGACCTGCTCCATCGAAATCAGTCGCATTGACCCAAAGACACATTTTGAGTTGTATACACTGTTGGAAAGAGGAGATTCCTAGCTTTCTAATGATATCATGATTGTTGTTGTACTCCAAATATTAAGCAAAATATGTCACATTATATAATGACTGTCACCGAGTCATCATTTTGAGAAAAGGGCCTTTAAAGTTTCCTCTTCTCTGGAATCCATCGATCTGATTGATTAGCGGAGCAAATGATCAAAATACTACGGAGGGAAGATATTTTCGTTTGGATTACTGGTCTGGGGGAAGCTTGCGTATTGTGTTTGTTTCCCGGGGAAAACACTCACGAGAAACACCGGCTGTTGTTATGCCTGCTGTGACGTTAAACTATTTTTTTACACAAATCCACGTTTATTTTGAAATGAGCCGCTGTGACTTCCGACTGATTTCGATAGAGCGGGTCACAATTGGTTTGGGAGCAAGAGATCTTTTAATCGTTGTTGCCCAGGCTTGCCGAAATGAATGGAAACTTATCTCCCGATTATAACATTGTGTAACTTGCTGCTGTTAAATACCGTCAAACTATGTGCTTTATGTACAATATATACTTCATATACATATGCCATCTTTAATAACTGTAATATATATACCGGGCTGCTAAATCCTAAGAACTGCTACAGGATTTGATTTGTAGATTTGATTTGTTTTGTATCTGTATTTTTGAAAATTATATGTAACTTTTTATCTTTTTTTTTAGCATATTGTTTATTATATTATAACTTAGTACTTTTTTAGCATATTGTTTATTATATTATAACTTAGTACTTTTTAACGCATGTAAGATATTCAACACTAAGCTGTCTGTGGCTCTTTCCTGCTTCAACGCTGCACATGTCCCCTCTGTGGGACTAAAGGTATTCTGATTCTGATAATGGGACGAATTTGTCCAAAGGGGCACACATCAATGTAGTGCCGACTTTCTTACACGCTGGAAGGCCAATCGCTTTTCTTTACCCCGAAATCCGCTCATTCTTGCTCTCGGTGTGACATAACAAACTGTCAAGCTGTCAAAACTCTGTACTCAAACCGGAAGTACTCGGCCTCACACCCAGCCGCCGGAAGTTGATAGACGCCATCTTGTGCACAGAGCCTATAGGGGATTTCAATTTTGACGAGGCGATTCTATTTTAACCGCCGCCGACAGGGGGCGAATGAGACGAGTGAGCGATACAGGGAGAGAAACACAGAAGAAGAGACGAGAGAGCGATACAGGGAGAGAAACACAGAAGAAGAGACGAGAGAGCGATACAGGGAGAGAAACACAGAAGAAGAGACGAGAGAGCGATACAGGGAGAGAAACACAGAAGAAGAGATGAGAGAGCGATACAGGGAGAGAAACACAGAAGAAGAGACGAGAGAGCGATACAGTGAGAGAAACACAGCAGAAGAGAGGTGTGAGTGATACAGGGAGAGAAACACAGAAGAAGAGACGAGTGAGCGATACAGGGAGAGAAACACAAAAGAAGAGATGAGAGAGCGGCAGAGAGAAGCGGAGAGGAAAGTGAGTGAAGAGAATAGTTAGCGATACAGGGAGAGAAGCGGAGAGGAGAGTGAATAGGCGTGTTAGCGGCAGACAGGGAGAGACACATAATTACACATGGCGCTCTCCAAGAAGAGGAAAGTGGACAGTGAGAACAGAGCTTTTAACCCTGAGTGGAATCATTCATGTTCCTCCTGCCCACTGGGAGCACAGAACCAGGGTGTCTCATTTGTTCAGAGACCGTGGCGCTCATTAAAAGTGCCAAAACGCCACTATGAGACAAAACACCAAGTGTTTGACTAAACATTCCCTCTCAAGTCAGAACTGAGGTCAAATAAGCAGTCTCAGAGCCCAATATGATCAGTCCACCAGGATCAACATTACAACTAAATATGGTTCCAGCGCAGGCTAACCAAGGCTAACCAATGAGCACCTGCATGTGTGTATGAGAATGGCCCTGACACCATTTCAGCCCAGATGTACAAACTCCTGGCAGGACAAGCTCGAGCTCAATTCTCGCACTGAACAGAACAAAGTGAGTGAGGGACTACAATATAAGAGGGAAAGAAAGAGAAACTTTTAAACTGTTCAATTGTTATGATGTGTAAAGACTGATATTGTTCTAATCGTCTGAAACTGTTAAGTCATGATGTGAAACGGTTAACAAAGAGAAAGGGAAACTCAAGCTGCTGCTACACTTTATTTTATTTATCTAAAATTAAGCACTTTTAAGATGCACATATTTTCAAAAGCTGTTTTATTTATTTCCTCTATTTTATTTTTAAATGCAGCCCGAGAGGAACATTACACATATCCACAGTATTTACTGTATATCTGTATAGTTCAATGTTAATAGACTATAAATATTGTTGTTTTTGAATTGTACTTTCTTTATTTGATTGGTTGTCAGTTGTTGATTACATGCAGACGTTGATAAAGCTACAGCTACTTCAATATCACACTAATTCATAAAGCAACTTAGACATTTTGAAGTTCCTGACCTTAGCATGGGGACATTTTCTCTATCTGGACCTCGTTGAATTTGAGTTGAATACCCCTGCCATACATACATATTATGTTCAGCAGGATAATCTCCATATATTAACATGATCACTTTTTAGGAAAGGTAAGCACAAATGTAATGTCCAGAAGTGAAACGCTAACGTTAGGCTATAAACAAAGTACAGCACGGTCACATGACTTCACGTCACCACCGCTAAGCTAAAGGTGGCTAATGTTGGGCATCATTTTGTCACTTGTTAGCATCCGCTGTTTTTAAGACACATAGAAGCTTTAGACATTCGTCAGTGGGGTATTTAATGACGTATTCATGTTCTAGAAAAACATGAAATTCTCTTCAGCTTGTGATAACCACATATTTTATTGCAGGAAGCTAACTGAAAACAAGTTATGAAATCAGTTGATATTGAAATGAGGGAACTGGATATGGTGAAAATGCTGAGTAATTTCCAGGTTTAAGAACTCATTCCTGCACAGCTCTTTATTAAAGGCAGTAGCAGATTCCCCCGTCATGATACAGCAGCTGCCTCGCCCTCCTGGCTGCTGCTGACCCAACAGCTTGTCAACATTGGAAACAAAGAAGTACTCTTTATCTGATACTACCTTCAGGAACGCCTTGCTCAGGTGTGCTGGTGGCCGAGACAGCTGAGTCATGACTATAAAAAACGCAACATCCCTCGTTTTTACACATTACAAGTTGATGAGGTTTAGTTAACACTGCTCTAAAATGTATAAAAGACAACTTACGTTTAAAAAAGACCAAAGGGGAAAGTAGGTGAAGGAATGTTTTATATCCATGGCCTCCATTTGGTAATTATCCAAGCGATCCCAACCCTATCTGCTCAGTTAAAAGTGCAGCATTTCATTTGCACCCATCGAATGTACATCAGAATGTAATACACAGGACACAGAAGTGAACCCTGGGTAATGTAGTATTTTACTTGTTTCTCCTCTGCTGTGTTCTAGGCTGATCCACTGTACCTGGGTCTACCCTGTTCTCCAATACCCTGCCTTCTTTGGATACTACTTCTTCAACGTGATGCTGGTGGTGCTTCTCTGTCTGCACATATTCTGGGCCTACCTCATTCTCCACATGATCAAAAAGTTCATGTTTGGCAATGTAAGTGTCCTCATTGAGAAGTATTTTTCCAAACCTGTTTTAATTATGTTGTATTGCAAAGCATCTAAACATAAACCCTCCTTCATTAGACTGGATGATTTGACCATGTTTCATGATCTCCTTAGGATATTTTTGAAATAATTCAAGATGACAATTCCACCCTTAAGTTGACTTTATAGTTGCCTGATGCTCCAGATACTTACTGTATGGCAGAATGATTGTGGGCTTTAACCCTTATATAACTGGAGTTACATGTAGATCATTTAAAGTGTTAATTGTAAGTTATACAGTGTAGTGACTGCATTAGATGTGTTTTCCTGGAAATTAGTTTACAATAGTCTTTTTTTTTTGCATTCCTCATGCTGTCTTCACTCAGGACATATCGTCCATTATCAAATACTTGTAGGAGAAATTATCTTAGCTGGCCAATCCCTGTTCTCATCATCAAGCCTACAACCAACAACAAAGTATAAATCCTGCTTAACCCTGAATATAAGACGTTTTTTTTGACCCCTCCATCAACCATGACCCCTAACCTCCTATGTGGACTTTATCTCTTAGAAAACGCTGCTTGTGTAAATACATTCCTTAAGGCAAACAGACCTTCCATACTTCTTATAGTCACCCGCATGTCAGGTGATGCCATGTTGATTTTGAAGATGTTAACACCAGGAGAAGCCCACAGCATCAGTGGTTTGTTCTAGTGGCTGAAGCAGCATCTGTTAACCTTTATCTGAGACGGACCTCTCACAGCCATGTGACTCAGGAGCGCCAGGGCAAATGGCGAGATTAAATCAATCAAAACTCTTCATTCATCTCAGGGGGGAATTCGGTTTTGTGACAGCTCTACACTGGGGTTTGTGCTAACAAATAATAGATGGGTACTAAAACACTTTAAGCTACTCACTTTTCTGGCTTTTTGACTAGAAAATCCTAGAAAATGTGTTGAACGATGTGTTAATTTGCATTTTATTTGAATTTGTCGTAAGATATTTGGCAATTGTGAGTTGCCCAATTATTTGAAGACCAGTGTTAAAAGAAGTACTCAGATCCTTTACTCAAGTAAAAGTACAAATACTATCGTTTTACAATACACCAATACAAGTTAAAGTCCTGTTTTCAAAATGGTATGTAAAGTAAGTAAAAGTACAAAAGTATTGGCATCAAAATATACTTAGTTACAAAAAATGTTTTTCTTTATTGAATAATAAATCTGATTTGTACAGCATTTTAGTAGGATAGTGCTATTTTAAAGTGTCAACAATATAATAATCAGACCCTGCAATAGAATAAATCAAGTTTCACTTTAGTTTTTCAAGTAACTCAACTCTAACTCACTCACTCAGCATCATCAAGGTTATCTTTTAGGAATATGAGCATGTCCACATTTCCAGGTAGAAGCTGGGATGTTTGGGTGTTTACAAAATCCCCTGCTGTGGAAACAACTCTCTTGCTTGGTAATGATGTTGCTGGGACAGAGAGATATGCTTTGGCCATGGGTGACAGCAGTGGGTAAAACTGTGCATTGTCTCTCCACCACTTCAAAAACAATACAGTTGTTGCCAAGAAGGTGAGGCTTATTGACAGAGATATAGATATACTGTTGGTACTTGTCAATGTCTCTAGGTGTGTAAATGTAGCACTGTAAATACCATGTGCTTTTGTGTTATCTGTTGTTCTATGTTCATGTTGTAACCTACTTGCTGCCATGTTGGACAGGTCTCTCTTGAAAAAGAGATTGATGATCTCAATGGGACCATCTGGTCTAAAAAAAAATATATTAAAAAAAAATTGCGGTAGATTTTGTCAGTCTCATGACGGTATTGAGACATTTATTTACCGTGATATCGCGATATTTGATATATCGTTACATCCCTAATTAATATACTTAGTTACTTTCCAGCAGTCGTGATAACTGATATTGGACAGGGAGCATTTGAACTCTGAAGGCAGTCAACAGACTGTAGTAAATGAATATATATATTGTACTCAGATAACCCATAGCTCGGTTCTCTGCAGCTCAGGTTCCTAATCTTCCCTCTATATGTTTTTTCAAATCTATTTTCTGTTTTTCTACTGCTTATGTCACAGCTGACCCGTGATGAGAGGAGTGACTTTGAGGAGGAAGAGGAGGAGGTGGAGAGCAGCCTGACAGAGGATGAAGGAGAGCAACAGCACAAGCTGGGCAATGGTTTTTCAGTCAGTGAGACGGAGGAGAAGAATGGAGGCTTTGGGTGCATGTCTCCTCCAGAGAACATGTGCCGCTCCAAAATTGTTTGCTGAATAAGCAAAACAAGATGTATTCCTTCAGTTGCAGGAACGAAACTCACAGTGAATGTGCAATATGTTCAAAGAAACCCCCCCCCATGCTGTCAGTGGCAGCGCTTCACTGTCATTCACAAAGACCAACAAACCTAACAAGCCAATAAAGGACACACTCATCACCACGTTCATATGTTTGTGAAGTGCAGAGCTGGTGCGCAGGTGGGGGGGGGGGGGGGGCACCACCAGCTGCTCGACCTCACTGGGTCATCAATCAAGACTTTAACTCCCCCCCAGCCCGCTCAATTAGCACGCACCGCTTATGCTCACCGGTAGATGAATGGGATCCAGTGAGATAATGGAGGTGGGGTTGGCAAAGTACTGTATGTAGCTGTGCTCACCTTCATAGACCCACTGAACTCTTTGTGTATACAAGTTTTGTATTTGAATCTACTGTCCAACTTTGACTTTACATGATAAATCACACCATGCAATGATTCCCATAGATAACAACATGTGATGTTTGGAAACATCTAGGCAGCAATGACTTTGAGTTTCATTCATCTAAAGCTCGGAGCCCAACCGGAGGGTCCCGACCCCACCCAAGGCTCAGAAAACCATCTTGGGGTTAAAAAAGGTCTCCTTGGTTTTAGTCTTGGTCAGACAACGTTTTATAAAAATATACAGTCAACATTTTATTCATTTCTGTGAACAAAAATGTAAAGTAAACTACAAAAATGGGAGCTTCTGATATAATAATCCAAAACGTTAAATGAACGGAGTCTCCTCCAGCATAAGACATGTTTTGTAGTTTAAATATCAAAAGACCAGCAGGACAACATATCTCTACACAGGACATAATCTGCTTCAAATGAATCCATATCGCTCGTTAGGGGTTTATTTTGCAACAGAACTGATGGATGGTTGACAGCACATCAGAGACTGAACAGAGGACATGTGTTTTATGATTATAAAAGGAGTTGCCTCACATCCCTGATGCTGTGCCAATGCAATTTAGGAAGTTTTTGTTGCTGCCCTTCACTCGGAGAAAACCAGCACAGAAAAGTGGTGGTAATAATTATGAATAAAGTATTTGTATTGAGTTTATTAAGGTACTCAAAGACACTTTACATGTACTGGTTAAAATGAATTTAAAATAACACATTTAACATATGATAACATATAATTACACATTAAAAAGCACTTATGAAAAGGTGACTTATGCTTATACTAATGCGCCATTATTTCTGTAACATTTAATTTTTTTTGAAGGAAGACAGAGAATCATGGAGCAGTTTGAAATTGACGTGTCTTTTTTTTACTACAGCAAAATAGCCTGTCAGAACATGTGAAAGGAACATTTGTGTAATTGTATGATACAGCAACACAACTGTAAAAAAAACCTGCTAAGTAAAATATTTGTTCTGAACTATTTCTCCCAACATCCCTGATTTCCTGTTGAACGTCTTCAACAGGGCAGTAATACCTCTACTGCCCACAAGATGGGGATGCTCCGCCTGCTCTGCTCTGTCTGCAGAGAGCACAGGTCTTACCTGCAAGAGGAAAGACCCCCACTCTTTAATATTTCATAACCACTTTATTATGACAGTTATGATAAGGTAAACTGTGCATGTTATACGTTTTATTTTGTTATGTTGTAGCAAACAGCAACTAACCTTTCACAAACCAGAGTTACAAACTCGATGTGTCTTACAGTATGCATCTCAACCTGTACTCACATCCATGGGCGTAGGAAGCATCCTGAATGTGGGGGGGACATTTTTAACGGGGGGGGGGGGGGGTGTGGGTCCTCCACCATGGGAAAAAAAATATATTTCCTGTATTCTGGTGCATTTTAACAGGTGGTTTGATACTTTTATGTGGCTATACTAGCATGAGGGAAATGATGGGTACATTTTGTAATTTCATCCAGTCGTAAAGAAAGGGAAACATATTTGATTATTAATTCAGAGCCGTCTTGAATTAATAAAAAGCAGTTTAAATGCCCATTTTTTTGTACATTATATACAACAATAAATATTTGTGAGTGCATTGAGAGATATTGTTGTGGAGAGCCATTTATATATAAATCGCAAAATACATTTGTGAATCCTTCTGTGAGCATTTATTAATATTGAGACTGATCTGACTCCATACAGATTTTAAATTCACATAGGAATGGTATCATTGACTTAAATGTTCAAATAAATGTTGCTCTTCTGTCTATATTGGTCACATGATGCCCCTTGACTGAAATGCTTCCTGTTTAATATCCCCACTGATTTCCTTAACATTCTGGGATGATAGTCCACATCACAATTTACTCTAAACTGTCATATCCCTTTCATCACTCACCTCAGCAATGGACCTCTCTCCACTGTCCCTGTGTTCTGCCTCTGACTCACTCTCAAGCGCCTAGATGTCAAGAGAGGTGGTGAAGGGATCATTATTCATTGAGCAGTATACTCTTTCACATTGAATCATAACAAGTCTACTGAATGTAAATACAACTGACTCTAAAGTAAGTCCCAGTCTGTGACATTGGACATTTTGAAGACTCCAAGCCCCAAGCAGTAGGTAGAATATTAGCTAGTCTATGTAATGTGCAAAGAAAATAAATAGTTAACTGAATACTGGGATGGAAATTGCCTATAAGCACTCAGTAAAACATAAACACACACAAAAAGCTTCTGAATGATAAGAAGTATAATTAAAACATAATGCACATTACCATTTTGAGAGAGAGTACCTAAGTTAAAGAACTCAGAAAAGAATCTCTTATCGAACTGAGGCTCCAGTAAAACACACTGACTCTACATGGACATCATGGTGTTTACATGAGCACAGAGAGATGGGGTTATTCATGTTCCCTGTTGTTGAATTATGAAATGTAATATATGAATTCTGTTTATTTAATATTCTTATACTAATCACTTCCTGTATTCCCGTGATAAAAGGGACATGCGCAATAAAACGTGTCACTTCCGTTTGAAGCACAGCTGATGGTGTATGTGTGTATTTATTCCTCTGTCACGTTAACTATGTTCACGGTATTCCTGCCCTAAGATCATGGCATCGCTAACAGGTTATGGGCCCAGGAGGGACCATGGAAGCCGGTGGAACCGTTTGTGTTTCGACGGAGATGAGAAGAACTACGAGTTATGGGAGACAAAGTTTTTGGGTCATCTGCGACTGCTAGGATTGAAGGCTGCCATCCTAGAGGAGCCAGGTGAAGAGGATGAGGCTGATGATCAGAAAAACGATGAAGCCTATGCGGAATTGATCCAGGTACTGGACGATAAAAGCCTTTCACTGATCATGAGAGAAGCAGCGGACAACGGAAGAAAAGCGTTACAAATATTGAGGGACCACTACGCTGGGAAAGGGAAACCACGGGTGATCAGCCTCTACACTGAACTAACGTCGCTGCAGAAAGCCGCTAATGAGAGCGTCACTGACTATATTATTCGTGCCGAAACGGCAATTACAGCACTGAGAAATGCTGAAGAGACTCTTAGCGACGAGCTGCTGATAGCCATGATTTTAAAGGGACTGCCAATCTGTTTTAGGCCGTTTGCCATCCACATTACACAAGGGGATGAGAAGCTAACTTTTGGTGAGTTCAAAACAAAGTTGAGGAGCTATGAAAGCACAGAAAAATACAATGCCAACTTGAGTGAGGAATCTGATAATATTATGAAAGCGAGTGGCTGGGTTAAGTGGAGAGATGGCCCCAATATCACCTGCTACAACTGCGGTCAGAAAGGACACCGGGCTCGTGAGTGTCGAAGTGCGAGCAGCAAAGACCAGAGACGGTGGTGCAGTTTTTGCAAAAATTCCACACATATAGATGCAAACTGCAGACGCAAAGAGAGAGACAATGCTAAACAAGCAACTGACGTTGAGGACCACTCATTTGTTTTTAAAGTACGTGACAGTCCAGTAACCGGAGTTACACAAAAAGGGCTGATGGTCGACACCGGAGCAACGTCACACATAATAACGAACATCGACAAGTTTAAAAGGTTCGATGAGACTTTTCAACCGAAAGACCACTTTTTGAATTGGCTGACGGGACAAGAACAAGTGGTGTCGCTTTGAAGAAAGGAGAGGCGGAGGTCTGCCTGCAAGACACGGAGGGACGACGAGTGACAGCGATGCTGAAGGACGCGCTCTATATACCGTCCTATCCTCAAGACATTTTCTCTGTTAAAGCAGCGACAGCCAACGGAGCATCAGTGAACTTTCGTCAGGGTTGTAACCAGCTGATTCACCAGAGAGGTAAAATATTTGACATCAAGGAATATGATAGACTTTATTTTTTAAACACTGTGGACTGTGAAGCTGAGGACGATGCATGTTATGGATGTTATGACATTCAAACATGGCATGAAATACTTGGTCACTGTAACTATGATGATGTGTCACAACTGGAAAAAGTCACTGAGGGGATGAAAATTAAGGGTGGGATTGATAAATCTAACCTTAACTGTGAAGTGTGTACTCAAGGTAAATTTGCTCAGAGTAGGAACAGACAACCAGATGCAAGAGCTAAAGCAGCGCTCAATCTTGTGCACACTGATTTAGCAGGTCCCATTGAGCCAGAGGCTAAGGAGGGATTCAGATACACATTGGCTTTTACAGATGACTTTTCAGGGGCAGTATTTGTGTATTTCCTAAAAGCTAAAAGTGATACTTTCAAAGCCACAGAAAAATTCATTGCTGATGTCGCACCTTATGGTAAAATCAAATGTATAAGGTCTGATAACGGTACAGAATTCACCGGGACAAACTTTCAATCGCTCCTTAGACAACATGCAATACGACATGAAACTTCAGCACCTTACTCACCCCATCAAAATGGGACAGCTGAGAGAAACTGGAGAACACTTTTTGAAATGGCAAGATGCATGCTTCTTGAGAGCAATTTACCAAAGAAGCTATGGACATATGCCGTCATGACTGCAGCTGTAATACGTAACAGATGTTACAACAGACGTGTAGGACAGACACCTTATTATATGCTGACAGGACGTAAGCCGAACCTCTCGAAAATGAATATATTTGGATCTGTATGCTATGCATACAAGCAGGAAAAGAAAAAGTTAGACCTCGAGGTGTGAGAAGGGTATTTTTGTAGGGTATGATAAAAACAGCCCAGCATACCTAGTCTACAACCCAGACACTGGTAGTGTTCGAAAACACAGGCAAGTGAAGTTTGTCACAAAAAGTATAGTCGAGCGACATACACAGACTGATTTTGAGGCAAGTGATGATGATTTTTTATGAGAAAAGGTTTGTATCCACCAAGCCAGAAACCCAGGGGGACTGACTCGTGTCCAAAAGAGACACAGGAGGCTCGAACTGAGACAGATGACACAAACACTCAGACAGGAAAGGGAGCAGAAGGTCAAAATAGAAGCTATCCCCAAAGAGAAAGGAGGAGACCTCAGTATTTACAGGACTATGAATGTAAAGTACAGTGTGACGACCAGAAGTATGTAAATATTGACTACTGCTACAGAGTAATGTGTAATGTACCAAACACCTTTAAAGAGGCCATGAATTCAGCAGAGTCAAAACTCTGGACTGATGCTATGCAGGAGGAAATCAATTCTCTTAAGGAAAATGACACATTCACATTGACCACACTACCAGAGGGCAAAAATGCAGTGGGGGGTAGATGGGTCTATACAATCAAAGAAAACACAGAAAAGACTGAGATATATAAAGCCAGATATGTTGCCAAGGGATATAGTCAAGTGGCAGGAATAGACTATAAGGAGACATTTTCCCCGACTGCAAACATGACATCAGTACGAAGTTTGATGCAATTGGCAGCTCAACATGACTTACACCTACATCAGATGGATGTTAAAACTGCATATTTACACGCTCCAATTGATTGTGAGCTCTATGTACAGCAACCTGAAGGTTTTGAGGTCAAGTCAGACACAGATGAAAAGCTAGTCTGCAAGCTGAATAAATCACTGTATGGGTTAAAACAATCTGGAAGAAACTGGAATAAAATGTTGCATGATCATCTCTGTGAGAACGGTTTTGCACAAAACCCAGCTGATCACTGTGTCTACAGTAAAGGAATAGAAAATGAGAGGATCATTCTGATTATTTGGGTGGATGACTTAGTTATCGCAGCTAATGATATTCACACAATTAATACTGTGAAAGAAATGTTGAGCACAAAATTCAAAATGAAGGATCTTGGGAAACTTAAACATTTCCTAGGCATTGACTTTACTCAGGAAAAAGGAGAAATAAAGATGGGTCAACAGAAATTCATTACAAAAATACTGGAAAAGTTTGGTATGAATGACTGTAAGCCAAGGTCCACCCCGTGTGAACAGAAACACAACTTTGATGATGATGGTGAAGCTGTTGATGCAACACAATATCGTGAAGTGGTAGGCAGCTTAATATATTTAATGACATCTACACGGCCTGATCTAAGTTGGATAGTCAGTAAACTGTCACAGTATTTTTCAGAGCCAAAAGAACAACACTGGTTAACTGCTAATCATGTATTGAGGTACTTAAAGGGCACAATTAATCAGGAGCTATGTTTTAAACAACAAGATGAAAAACTGAAACTTGTTGCATACTGTGATGCGGATTGGGCAACAGACCAAAATGACAGACGGAGTATAACAGGGTACTGTTTTAGTCTAACTAGCAATGGGCCTGTTATTTCTTGGAGATCAAAGAAACAGCAAACAGTAGCTTTGTCGACATGTGAGGCAGA